GTCACACGTGCGGGAAAGTCTCTATGTGATGGCTATGGGAGACAGACATCAGCAGTGGGCAGAGTAATTAGAATGTATTATGCATAGATATGAAATTAATTTTAAAAGATCTCACAGTATCTCCTATATTCCATTCTGTTTTAAGTTGTGAAAATCCAAAGTGACAGCCATGACTTCAATCCTAGCACTCGAGAGTCAGAGGCAGGAGGATCTCTCTGAGTTCGAGGCCAACCTGGTCTACAGAGTGAGTTCCAGGACAGGCTCCAAAGCTATATAGAGAAACCCTGTCTTGAACCCTGCACCCCTCCCCCCCCCAATCAAAGTGAGATGAGGTTTTCTGGCAAAGACTTCACAGGTTTAAGAGGATCCATCGCTACTGGGGTGGGGGAGGGAGGGATCTTTGATATTCTTGCAGTACATTTTCAGCTTGTGTATCTATTTATAATTTTGGTTCCTTTTCCCTTGCAGCCTAGAAGATGGGTTCTATACATTGCTTAAGTTTCATCCCACTTGTCTGCTTTTGTAATCTGTTCTTTTGTAATCTGTTCTTTGCCCCTTGTCAATCCATCAGGGTAATCTGAACTATATTTATTTTTAACCACTTGAGAAATTCTGAGCAACACAGGATCTAACAATGATGACTGTCTAATTACCACTCATTCTACTTCAAATTAATAGTGAGTGATTCAACGATTTGGCCTATCCATCAGTAAGTGCCTGCTTCAGGGGACCACCTGGCATAGAAGACAAATGTGTCACGATGAGGCAGGCAGAGTGGATATGCATTCTGTACACTCTAGCTTCTTTCTAGCATCTGGAAGTTTCCCCAGAGAGTCACCATAAGCTACTAACATTCTACCACCTATCTTTGCCTGAAAGCCAGGATCAGGTTGATAACCAGCCCCCCAAAGTCATCATGTGAACAAGTAAGATAGACAGGACCTCTATCAACAAATGAGAGACTCCATGGGGAAGGCAAGTAGGAAGTAGGGGCCATCTTTACACATCCGGCACTATCTATGACGGCGTCACTGCAGTAATGGATTAGACCACTTCCCCAATAACTACAGGCACCTGGCTTTCTAACTAAACCACACAATACAGGAGGTCAAGATCATAGACTTGGTCTTTAAAAGAATCTAACAGGTACAAGTTTCGTGGTCAAAAACTTGACTTTTAACCTCAAGCTATTACAATACCATCACTTATACACAAATGATCTCTGAGAGAAGTCAAGAGCCAACAAGGTAAACCAATTACCAGTACTGGAAAAAAACCTGGGATACCCAACCTGTGAGTCAACCCACGGAACAAATTTCATTTAAGAATTTCCTGATGATCTGGGCCTCAAGGTCAAACAGATGTAAAAAACCCAGGTCTGCTATTTTTAGTTCTGCATATGACCTTGAACAAATTAATTTTCCAAAGTTTTAAAAAGGGGCTAGCACAAGGTATCTCTCCATAAGGAACGGGCTCAAAAAAGCCAGTTCTCGTACTAGGGATAAACACTGGTTCCCCTGCCTGTGGCCCCACAAACTGCTCAAGCCCCCCAACAGACACCATGTTTAGGGGCCCTAGTTCGGTCCTATGCAGTTTCCCCAGCTGTCAGTCTGGAGTCTGTGAGCTCCCACTTGCTCAGGTCAGCTGTTTCTGTGGGTTTCCCCAGCCTGGTCTTGACCCCTTTGCTTATATTATCACTCCTCTCTCTCTAGGACAGCCTAGATACATTGGGGGGAGGGGACTTGGTCCTGCCTCAAGTGATCCAGTGATGTAGTAGACTTTGTTGATTCCTCATGGGTGGTCTCACTCTCTTTGAGGGGTGGATGGGGGATGAGGTGGGGAGAAGGTGAGGGGAGCAGGAGGGCAGGAGGGCAGGAGGACAGGAGGGAGGGAACTGGGACTGCTATGTAAAATAAGACTGTTTTAAGAATAAAAATAAATAAATTTAAGAATGATTAAAAAAGAATAAAAAATAATAAAGAAAAAAATTAGGGGGGGCTAGGACAGGTCAAGTTGGCCCCAGCCCCTTCTGGAGATGACCTGGTAACAAGAGAGCGGGGTGAGGGTAGACCACTTGGAGATGGTAGACCACCTGAGCCAGCTCTGGTTGTGCAGCACACTAACTATAAAACACAGAATACGTGACAGCCTCATTAGTGTCATGGAGCTGGATGAATGAAGGCATTTACAGAGAACCTAGCACACCAAAAACGTGAGCAAATGGCTGCCCTTTCTCTAATCATTAATGAGAAGAAGGGCTACCTTACCATCATGATCATCGTGATCCACCAACCAGTGTTTTCAAAATGTGGTCAGGGCACTGTAGGTACCAGAAAACCTGAGGTGTTTGTTGACCAAAAAGAAAAAAAAACTATATCCCACCTATTCATAAAAGTTCTCTAAGAAGGTACTAGATGATGCTATCTCCTCAATCAAACTTCAAGCTGCGTGTGAAGTGTAGACTTCACTGGTCCTGTACCCCGTGCTATGCCCCACAGACTGTTGTCATCCACACTTACTCTCTCCTGTGCCAGGAGAATGGTGGGTGTCTTCAGGATTCTCCTGGATGCAGGCATACCTTAATAGGGCTGTAGGTTTTTGGTCAATTTCCCATGTGTTCTTTGCCACAAATGGTTCTATCTTGAAGTAAGTGTGTGTGTGTGTGTGTGTGTGTGTGTGTATGTGTCTGTGTGTGTGTGTGTCTGTGTGTGTGTGTGTGTTCGTGCCTGTGTATGACTATATATATTTTCCCCTTTGACCAGGTTTGGGCAAATTAGGGCCTTGTATAAATTCAGGCTCCAGAGAGTGCACTTGGTTAAATAGGTATTTGGGGAAAAAAATGATTCAGATGATAAGATGCCCACAAAGTCTGAAAGGGCCATTCACAAAAAAAGTCTGTCAAGCATTCTGTGGCCTATAATTGTTTTTAACTGCTTACACAATTTACTTCTATGGGGATGAGAGTGTTGCTTAGAAAAATAGAAAAAGAACTGCGCCAACAGAGGTTACACTAATGCCAAACACATACCTGCGGACAATGATCAAATTGTGCATGGCTGGAGCCAAAAGTTCTAAAGCCCCCGGAGGTAGAGGTGGGAATAGACGGTGTGACTGCTTAAGTATTTGCTACAGACGACCTTGAGTAATTGTTAAAATGACTCGACGAACACAGAGCTTCATAAACATAAATACCCTGCTGCTCACAGATGCTTCTTTGTTCCAATGTACAGGACACGCACTCTCACAAGGAGAAATTAAGTCAATGCAAAGTGCTTCGAGAGAATTAAACAAAGGGGGTTTCGCTGTGTTAACACCACGGTCTAAAGAGCGTTTACCAAGTCCCCCATCTCCTGTGCCCGCCGTCCCCATCTCCTGTGCCCGTCCAGCCCCATCTCCTGTGCCCGCCGTCCAGTCCCCATCTCCTGTGCCCGCCGTCCAGTCCCCATCTCCTGTGCCCGCCGTCCAGTCCCCATCTCCTGTGCCCGTCCAGCCCCATCTCCTGTGCCCGTCCAGCCCCATCTTCTGTGCCCGCTGTCCCCCATCTCCTGTGCCCGCCGTCCAGTCCCCATCTCCTTTGTGAATGGCTTGTCTCCCTGTGCGTCCCCGTGTCGCAGATACACAGGACTGCACAAGGGCGTGTGCGCGCCAGTGATAGATGCCACTGCCCTTTCTATGCTATCTACATGGGCTTTTCCTTCTCATTTACATAAAACGTTGTCTGGTTCTCCTTCCTAGAAGGACAAGCATTTGATTTGGCATGGGAACAACTGAGACTATGATTGACATATCCTCAAAAGCACCAAATGTCCCAAATTAATATTTTAAATAGTAATCTTCCCTTTCGCGTTTACAGAGCACTAATGTCCACGGTTTCACATTTTAGACCAGCTAAAAGATGTATTACTCTTGTAACCCATCCAACATGTAATTAATTCTACAAGGAAGTAAAAATCTTCCTAGGAAGGGACACAAGGAAATGAAATGAGCAGCACTTTAAATGTTTTCATCGTATGAAATGCATTGTGGACACACGAATCACCAGCACTATAAATAAATAAACGTTGCAGGCGTGCTTGCCTTACACACAAAGAAAACACTTGTACATTTGCACGCCATGGCATTTGAGCCTGGGCTCCTGAAAAATACAAGTGACTGTAAACGTGTGTGTGTGTGTCTGGTGTGTCAGGGAGAGGCTGGTAAGCATAAGGGGTGGAGCTTGCCAAAAGCAGTTATTTAAGAAAATCCCTTTCTCTCTCATTCATTCTTTCTAGCCTCAGTGTCTGGTAAGGTCCTTACAGTTACTCACTGGCTTTTCATTCTAAAGACAGCTGACATGCTCTTACAGCTTCCTATGGTGTTATTTTTTTCCCCACACACTTAAAAAAAAACATTCGATATATGTTTTGAATTTTTTAAAGAAAGAAAATCATTGGCCTATTTCCTCACTTCAAAGACCCCCATATATATCTGGCTAAATATCAGCCTTTGTTATGCGTCCAAAAATAACTCTACCGCATGGTATTGGAAAATAATAAATTATTCGTATTCCACGGATGTCACAGCGATTGTCATTAATTTGTTTTACCTCAGTGAGTCGATTTACCACTCTCCTCTTACTGAGTCCTACACGCTTGCCTTTTTCTCTCCGAACACCCCATTAACAAATGTAAGGGCTCCAAGGAGGACACCAAGCGCCCTTCACGCACAATGGTACTCTCCAAGCCTGAGACCTCTCCGGGCACGGGAAAGTTAACGCTCCGGCCTGATGCCCACCCGAATGCGCCGAGGAAGAGAGGAGACGGAGGGGCTGCGGGAGCGCGACCCCTCGATTCTCCACCTCCAGAGGAAGGGAAGAGAGCGGAGTGGGAAGGTGGGCGAGTGGGAGACCGAAACGGGTGCCGGGTGTGGGTGGGCGGGATGGGAAGGTAGAGAGTTCGGGGAGGTGGGGAGCCCAGCGGGGGGCTGGCGGGCGGCGAGGGCGCGAGGGGGCCGGTCCTCACCGTTGAACGCGCCTGCTTCCGCGGCCTCCTCCTCCTCCTCCTCCTCCGCGCCGTTCTCGGAGTCGGAGCGCATGGGCTCCTCGGCGAAGTTGACACCCTTGCTGGGGGCGCCGCCCCCGAAGGTCCTGCTCTCATGGCCCAGGCGCGCGGCGCCCCTGCGCTCGCTCTCCTGCTGCAGGCGCGTGAAGTGCTGCAGCGCGAACTCCAGCAGGTCGGCGGGCTGGTGCCTCAGCACCTCCACCGTGAAGCCCTGCAGCAGCTCCGTAAGCCCCGCGGGGATCTCGATGCTCATCCTGCCCCTGCACGCCCGGGCGCCTGGGCGCCGCCCTCCGCCCCTGTCCGCGGTCCGGTCTCGGGCTGCGCGGCCCCGAGCGAGCGCCCCCGGCGCTACCGGCTGCGAAGGCGGCGCACTGGGCCCCCGGCGCGGCTGCTCGGTGTGGCGGCGGCGGCGGCGGCGGAGCGAGCACAGCCCGGGAGGGTTGGCAGCATCTCCGGCTCCTCCCGCTCCCTCTCCCGCCGCCACTGCGCCGCCCCGCGCCCGGCGCCCCGCCCCCGCCCGCGCGCCCACGTGATCCCCGGAAACCATGGCAACCCCGCGGGCGGGTTCGGTGCCACTTAGCAAGTGGCCTCTGGGTGGAGGCAGCGGGAGCCTAGGGCGTGGGGCCGAGAGCTCCCACAGCAAACCCTCTCAGAGTTGGTGTCGCCCCATTTGTCCTGAAACTTCAGCCTCCACTTTGGCGGTGGCCTTTTCTCTTCCTAGAATTCAACAGCAAGAGGAATGTGCGTGATGTCTTTTGTTAAAGACACACAGCTGTGCTGGTTCTCTGTGGGATAAAAGAAATGCGGCCCCTTATTTGTTACAACATCCTCTTGCTGTCACCACCTTTCAGCCACCTGTCTGTGATGGTCAGCGGTACAAATGTTCTGCCATGGCAGGCTTGGTGCGTTTCCTACGGGCTGCTGAGACAACAAAGGCAGCATTTATTTATTTATTATTAATTTAGTTTTTACTAAATTAATTTTTACATTATTACATTCCAATCCCACTCCCCCCTCCCTCCTCCCCTCCCATTCCCCCCCCCCCAACACATCCCATCTGCTCCTCAGAGAGGGTAAGGCCTCCCATAGGAAGTCTACTAAGTCTGTCCCATCATCTAGTTGAGGCAGGACCAAGGCACCTCTCCACCCCCCACACCCCTGTGTCTAGGCTGAGCAAGGCCTCTCTCCATATAGAATGGGCTCCACTAAGTCAGTTTGTGCATTAGAGTTAGGTCTTGGACCCACTGCCAGTGGTCTCATGGGTTGTCTCAGCCGCACCATTGTCACCTATAGTAAGGGAGTCTAGTTCAGTCTTACGCAGATTCCCCACTTGTTAGACCTGAGTCACTGATCTCTCACTAGCTCGGGTCAGCTGATTCTGTGGGTTTCCCCATCATGGTCTTGACTCCTTTGTTCATAATATCAATCCTCCCTCACTTTGATTGTACTCCAAGAGCTTGGCCCATTGGTTAGTTGTGGATTTCTGCATCTGCTTCCATCTGTTTATAGAAGAGGGTTCTAGCTTCTCTGGGGTTGTGGATTGTAGGCTGGGTATTTTTTGTTTTGTGTCTGGTATCCACTTATGAGAGAGTACATACTATATTTGTCTTTCTGGTTTTGGATTACCTCACTCAGAATGTTTTATTTTCTAGTTCTGTCCATTTGCCTGCAAATTTTAGGATGTCATTGTTTCTTAGCAGTGAATAGTACTCCACTGTATAAATGTACCACATTTTCTTTATCCATTCTTCAGTTGAGGGGCATCTAGGTTGTTTCCAGGTTCTGGCTATTACAAATAATGTTGCTATGAACATAGGTAAGCAAATGTCCTTGTGGTGTGAGTGTGTATCCTTTGGGTATATGCCCAAGAGTGGTATTGCTGGGTTGTGAGGTAGGTTGATCCCTAGTTTTCTGAGAAACCACCATACTGATTTCCACAGTGGCTGTATAAGTTTGCACTCCCACCAGCAATGGAGGAGTGCTATCCTTATTCCACATCCTCTCCAGCATAGACTGTCTTTGGTGTTTTTGACCTTAGCCATTCTGATCAGTGTAAGATAGAGTCTCAGAGTGGTTTTGATTTGCATTTCCCTGATAACTAAGGATGTTGAGCATTTCCTTAAGTGTCTTTCTGCCATTTGAGATTGTTCTACTGAGAATTATCTGTTTAGATCTGTATCCCATTTTTAATTGGATTATTTGGTAGTTTGATGTCTAGTTTCTTGAGTCCTTTGTATATTTTGGAGATCAGCTCTTTGTCATATGTGAGGTTGAAGTTTTTTTCCCATTCTTTAGGGAGCCATTTAGTCTTGTTGACTGTGTCCTTTGTCTTACAGAAGATTCTCAGTTTTAGGAGGTCCCATTTATTAATTGTTGTTCTCAGTGTCTGTGCTACTGGTGTTCTATTTCAGAAGTGGTCTCCTGTGCCTGTGCATTCAAATGTATTTCCCAGTTTCTTTTCTATGAGGTTTAGTGTGGCTAGATTTATATTGAGGTCTTTGATCCATTTGGACTTAAGTTTTGTGGATGGCAATAGATATGGATCTATTTGCATTCTTCTATATGTTGACAGTTATACCAGCACCATTTGTTGAACATGTTTACTTTTTTCCAGTTTATGTTTTTAGCTTTTTTGTCAAAATTAGTTGCTCATAGGTGTGTGGGTTGATATCTGGGTCTTTGATTCGATTCTATTGGTCTACCTGTCTGTAGAAGCATGATTATGTTTTATAGATCAGTAATCGAAGATGCATGTCTGTCATATTTCTTCAGTTATGATGTTTACATTAGTTATGAATACCATTGCTCAGATGCAGCAGAAAATACAAGCTATACAAGTTAAAACAAGATGGAATTCTGTTTCTCTACCTTGTAACGCAGGCTGTTGAAGGCCTCTGTGGTACTCAATGGTGATTGGTAATCCACACTCCTTCACATTCATTGCTCTGTAATTCTGCGTTTATGGCTGCTCCACCTCCAGTCATTCCGTCCAAGTCAGCTAAGAGAAAAGTGGGAAAGAGACTCCCCTCCCCACAACACACACACCTCATATTGGCCACACAAATTGCGTTTCCAGAAAGTGAAAGTTATGGTACCCACAGGCCCACGCGCTCTTCTCCAGTGTAACTTTGCCATTCCTAAACCAGCTAGAGGTGGGTGGAATTGTGACTGCTTCAGCCAGTGCTGCATATATAAGTCACGCTAGCCTTGTGAAACATACATGACCAAAGTTCTGATCCACAGAGTCAGTGAACATAAAAAAGAGAAGGTTGATTAGCCTTCAAATTTTGGGGCAGTTTGTTGCACAACAATAGCAATTAAATGTTACAATGGGAAAATCTAGGGGATGCAAATACTTAGAGATGAAGGAAACCCAAGCCTGGGAACAACTATTAGTCTCTGCCGTGATGTTTAATACTTTCCCCAAGGACAGAAGAAAGAAGCACTCTTCTTGCAAGCATTAGCAAGAGCTGTATTTTAAAGTATCATCCTCCAACGTGTTCCCCACTTCATAGATTTCTTATGTGAGTCACAGGGGACGGCTCTCTCTCATCAGTCACAATGCCAGGAGCTCTCATTTCCTTAGGACTGTACAAGTAACTTGGGCATGAAATTAGTAATTGGTTTAGATGGCCTGTTGGGCTCTCATCCTGGGAGATTTCCAAGAGTATAATATTAAGAGCAGATATGTTTAAACTATCTTTGCAATCATTGCTGTTAGTTTTTGTTTGCATCAATTCTTAAGTCAATAACCTTGACCAGAAAAAGAAAGGCTACATCCCCATGTTCCTGTTATGTTATGCTAGAACTGTTCTCAGAACAAATTTTCATTTCTCAAATCATGTTCTGGCCTTTATTCACCACCACATAACCTTGATACAATATGTGATGGTTTCCTTTGCTTTCAGTTTCAAGATACTTTCTCTTGAGCTGTTGAGTGCAGTGACAGTGTCTTAGAGGGACTATTCATCTTGAATTCAGTGCTATTGATTCTTGGGCTGTTCATTTCTCAGAATCAGACTACAAGCAGTTGCAAAAGAACTTGAAGTGCTCAGCATTGAAACTCAAGAAGAATGACACCAAATTTATTTCCACATGCAAAATCTGGTCTGAGATATCAAATTGCTTTAACACAACTGCTAAAACAAGACAGAATCAAGAACAAATGCATAGTCTGGACGTGCTTTACAATGCAGAGTAGTAACTATGGTTAATCAATCACTTAGCATTTCCTATCATTAATTAGGGTGTGTCTTGATCAAATCATTCTGGTACAAGAAACAAATATGCACTCATATAAAAAGGAAGAAAGACAGAAATGAAAGATGAGCAGTTGGAGGCAGATAGGAACCATGCTTGCCGTGGACTTGGCTTTATACACCTTCAGAATTTCATCAGTGACTGTGGTTTGTTTTCATCTACTAAGATTCTCAAGAAACCACTTCCAACTAGATGGTCTTGTGGATTACCTTGACTGAGGTAGTCTATAAGTACAGCCACTGGCACATAGGACAAGGATTGACAGTGTACATACTTGGCAAGGTCGAAGTGCTGGTATTAGAAGTGGCATAGGCAACTCATAACATGTTTGCCAAAGATGCTGACCTTGTAACCTGTAAACCTCAGAGTCTGGACTAACCTAAGTAAGGTGTTGAATCTCTAGATGTGGTTGTGCAGGGTGATGTCTAGAAAACTAGAAGTTTACAAATCCTAGAAGAGCTTGGTTGCCTTTTGGGCCTCTGCTAAAATACTGGTGCTGCCAGCCGCTCCCAGACTCTCAGATTCAAGAGCTGGGCCTTGGGAATTTATACGTGGCTTGCATTCCTAGATCCTTCATATGTTGGGGTCCAAGAATCCCAATTTGTGGACTACTACACTATATTCTCTGTGCAAGTGCTTATACTCATGTTGAAAGACATCTCTCAGAAGTGAGTTTTTGCTTAGCACCAAAGCATAAGATGTTGTTAGATTCAAGCAGACTAGATGCCAACATGCTGTAATTCTATCCTTCAATGGGCCCTGCAAAGTTAAGGTGACTTTTAAAAGCATCCAGTATGTTCTTAAATATATTTTACAGGATGTGGTTTTTCCTTTTGAAAAACAGATTGGGCACACATTTATCTATGCTTTAAAAATCCCACCAAAATAATCAATAGTTAAAGGGACTGGGGGATCTCATAAGCAGAAAATAAGAGAATCCCAATAAAATTAAAATAATTACTCTTAATTTACTTAGTCTTGTTTGTTTGTTTGTTTTTTGTTTTTGAGACAGGGTTTCTCTGTGGCTTTGGAGGCTGTTCTGGCACTTGCTCTTGTAGACCAGGCTGGCCTCGAACTCACAGAGATCCGCCTGCCTCTGCCTCCCGAGTGCTGGGGCTAAAGGGGTGCACCACAACACCTGGCCAGTTTATTCAGTCTTAA